TATATATATTTTTTTTTTTTTTTTTTTTTTTTTTAAGATTTAGCGTCACCCGTGCCCAGGCATGGATGGTGCTCAGACACCTGGTTGCTCATGCAAACAGATGATGTTATTCTGAGTCATGATTGTGCATTTGTCACCGCCTCCCTCAGACAGCTGTCATTCGCTCTACAGACAGCGAATGGAGCAACAGAAAACTAGCCTTTTTTTCTTGGCAAAAAATACTTTTGCTAACTGTTGATTTGATTATAATCTACTGTATTTGGAAAACTAGCCTTTTTTTCTTGGCAAAAAGTACTTTTGCTAACTGTCGATTTGATTATAATCTATTTGAAACCAAGACATTCATCTGGGTCAAACATTTTCTGTGAAAATTAACAGGAGGTAAAGACAAAAAAGGATTCAAACAAATGAATAAAACCTTTTTTTTCAGTAATCCAACACCTTCATGGCAAATGAACACCTCAGTTTGGAGTACTGTATAGTACTCTGCTAACAGTACCAGGCTGTACTCGTACGTTGCACGTTGCTAGGCTACAGACGGTGTTGCATTCATTGTCCGTTTTACTGTAGAAAGTTGTATTTACTTGTAAATTGTAGCTCCCTGAGTTTCTCTCTCAGTCGACCACAGACTGGGCCTCTGGGAGGTCGCGTGTGGGCTGCATGTGGCCCTCAAGCCGCTATTTGTACAAGCAGGCAGTTTCCCCTTTTTCATATCAGCAAAATGTGTATCAAATATAATAAATGATACAAAATGCTTCCATATTTAAAGGTTCCCCTTATTTGGCGGGTCGCCCTATATTTACATTTGTTAGGATTTTCCCGTTTCTCTTGGCATCGTTCCTGTAGCTGCAGTGAGGATGCAGACGGACCGCGGATCAGATGCTCCACAGTGATGTGCTGTGGAAAGTGTGACATTCTCCTTGAATGCTTCTCCAGAAATGAGACTTGCATCCCAGCCTCTCATGCACGTCTGCTTGAGATTCACACTTTGGTGCGTTTGTCACATTGAGAGCATCTGGTTTAATTTGATTTCTCTGCCTGGCCACCCCACAATTCTCTGGGATTTTAGTGTAACCGTCGCCTACTGGGTGCAGCCAACAGATAGTTCCGCAAATAAAGGGGGTTTAAACTCTGATTTTGTGGATGAATTTCCAAACATCACAACCAATTTAAAAACGTTCCATTTTTTCCCCACTAAGTCGGCAGTAGATTTTGTCCGTTGTAGATTTCAACTAAATTTGTTTGAAACAGAAATTTAGAATTTGTATTTACTACTTTTAAAAGGGTGTTTTTCTCTCTTGTTTTAACCACACAATTTGTGGCAATTAACAAACGTGCTAATTAACCAAACTGAACGTGACAATACCTGGAGTTACTCCATTAGTACTGCTGCAGCCGAGCTCTAATTATACTGTAATCTTGTTGTTTTTTATTGTTCTTATACAGTTATATATATATTATTCAGATTTTTAATTTAAAAATCTGTCCAAAATGTACTTGTAACAGGAACAGGAATCTCAGTCAAATTTGTCAAAAAAGTTTTATTTTTATACTATACTAAACTTATATGAACTTTTATTCTTTCCCTTGTCTTTATGTTTCATTGTGTCTTTTTTTTTTTTACCTTCAACCAGCCCCAAAGAGACTATTTTGCTTTTTTTAAGTGCTGAAGAATGAAAACATTCCTCGATTTTTCCTCCTTGATCTTCTTCAAGTGTTTAAACTGAACAATATTGATTTTTTTTTGTAAAAAGACAGAAATGACATCAATAGTTTTTCTTTAAAAAAACAAACTCATTCATTCCACACGCAGGTGCCGTCTTCACTCTCACACTCTCTCTTCTTTTGTCATCCATGTCCCTGTCTTGTCCAATGGGACGAGACAATTTCCTGCAATGTGTTATTTTCTGCACAGCAAAATCATTGGCTACATTTTATGTCTGGAGATAATTTAAATCCTTGTTTGAACGTTACATCTCAGTATGTATGTCTCCGGACAATGGCAGAAAAAAACTAAAAAACAATTAGGAACATCATCGGTTCCGAACCGTGTCCTTCGCAAATTTGTTTTTTGCCTGTCATGCCCTTTAGAAATAAACAGCAGACTGGGACGCCGGGGCCAGTCTCCTCTTCTGCACCTCCAGAATGTTAAACATGGCTGCCGTGGCTGACTCTGAATTGCTCGACTGTGTCTCCCGGGCAATGGGGAAATTGAGCCCTGGCTATTCCTAATAGGTGGTAAAGTGTTAAGTTCCAGAGAAATGGACTGCGAATAGACCTGGAATGGAAATTGATCCTATTACCTTGTGCATGGGCTGCTTTTCTCCCATAGGAAAGGAAAGGCAGAGGGAAGCTGGACAGGAACAATAAGCAAGGATAGCAGACAGTGGGAAAAAGAGAGAGATGGAATGGGAAATAGAAATGGAGGGAGCAGAGGAGCAGGGATGAGGAAAAAACTGTTTGGCAACAACTGGAAAAGAGATAGAGGAAGGAGAGAAAATGGGGAAAAAAGCCGAGGGAAATTAGTGACGTGATTAGAAGTGATGGGTGGCAGTGGAGGTGGAATCCTGTCCTGAGCGTCAGGTCTTGTGTCAGTTTGACACCGATAACTGACCAGTTCTGGTCCAGATGGAAGAAAACTCTGTGAAAGGATGATTCACTTCCTGCTCCACGTCTCTACCAACAGACCTGATGTCTCTGATGTGGCTCCAGCTGCTGAGAGATTAGTTATTAACAGTGAGGTTTTTAAATTGCTGCTGAGAGATTAGTTATTAACAGTGGTGGTTTGGTGTCAGGCTGAGGTTTTTAAATGGAGTTTTTCCCAACTACATCATTTGTGAAATGACTCAGATTCAGATGTTTCTGTATCTGCAGTTATTCCATCGTTCATCCACCTGAAATCCTCTAAATTCCAACAACATTTTGAGTCACTTTTGGAAATTCCTCTTGACATTATTTACATATTAATAATTCCATCATTTAATTTAGTCACAAACTAAATGTTGTTTATGATTCTTTTTTTTTGGTTCCACCTTTTTATTTTCTTTTACCTAAATACAAACTCCTGATGTGTAATCACACTCTGCTCTCCGTTCTTTTCACCAGAGCCAATGCACGGCCCGCAAAAGCTGGAAGTGGTGGACATCCAGTCCAAGCAGGTGACCATCCGCTGGGAGTCCCTGGGATACAACGTGACCCGTTGTCACAGCTACAACCTCACTGTCCAGTACCGGTCGAGGGTGGCCGGCAAGGAGGAGACGCGTGAGGAGGTGTGTTACGACACCAAGAGCCGCGATCCGCAGCACACCATCCACAACTTGACTCCCTTCACCAACCTCAGTGTCAAGCTGGTGCTGCGCAACCTAGAGGGCGTCAAAGAGAGCACGGAGCTGAAGTTTCAAACTGATGAAGACGGTGAGTGATGACCTACGTACTCACTGTTCTATTGGCTAATAGAGCGTGCTCCTCTGTTCCTCACGCTGATTGGCTCATGCATCGTAGCATCTCTCAGCATCGTAAAGTTCGTAAAGGGTAAAACTCTCTGGCCTCTACGTCGCAATTTTTCCCATTTTGCAGTGGGTCTTGGAACGCAACTACTGTTAATGTATGTGTGGGTAAATATATACATATATTATTGTTATATTCCGGAGAAAAACCAATGGATGTAACAGATAAACTCTTCAAACTTTTGATGAAAAACGTTATCTCAGACTTGGACTGACATGTCTCACATGAATTCTATCAGGCAACAGAGAAGATATGGCTGACATTTCCCCATAATACATATATTTTTTTTTCTGGAGGACATGAAATCAGAGGCAAGTCTCTGTGTTAAGGGTTCTTCTTCTTCTTCTTTCAAAGATGAAAGCTCCGTGTTTTCTCAGCACAGACGGGAAATGAACTCACTACAGAAGTCTCAAGGAACCCTGGCAGTCAGATAACAAACAGACTCAGCTGACGAAAAAGAGAGTCTCGCCTTGTCTTGCTCAGATATCTCTGCTGGAGAACTTGAAAGTGGCAACTGTTTCACACCGTCGGACTGCTGCGTATTTCTGTTTGTCTGCAGATCTGTGTGTTTACAGTCCCACGGGAAACCGTGTACAGACAGGGTGTAGCCGGAGCTGCATTCCTAACGACATCTCTGCATCATTCTGTTACCGGTTACCAAATGAAAGCAATTCACATGAGCTGTGCTTTAAAGACGCAAGTCTGCGCAGCAGCAGCATCTCAGTACAACAGTGAACACATTCAGCTTCACGCTGTACAACAGTGAACACATTCAGCTTCACACTCTTCCCATGGGAGAGAATCTAGTTGATGTTGGCAACAAATCCTGATCAGCGTGGAAAGTCTTTTGCTGTGAGGCATTGTGAGTTTTTCAAACCTGTATCTTTAAGGAAATCTCAGGGATACTGATTAAGATCTGCTGAAAAAAACCTTCCATATCATCACTGTAACAGACTTGGCTCAGTGCAATATAATAGAATTCACTGAAATGTGCTTTTTTTTTTTTTTTTTTAAATCGTCTTACTTAAATGGTGTTGACACCATTTTATCTCACAGAGAAGATGGAAATTACATCCCACCTCTTACAGTTTGACTTTATAAAGTCGTTTTCTTTGAAAATGCACTTCTGACACCAGTTCTTAAAAAAAAAATCCTGTATCTGATAATTCTCCTCAGTGCCCGGGGCTGTTCCTCTGGATTCCATTCAGGGAAGCGCCTACGAAGAGAAGATCATTCTGAAGTGGAGAGAACCGGCGCAGACCTACGGGATTATCACCCAGTATGAGGTAGGCAGCGGGATTAGGAGAAACTGTTATTTACAGTGATCACATTTTCATGTTTCATTGTAGTTTTTTTGCTTTTCATTTCTTTGAAATGACAATATATTAAAGAAAGGATTGAAAAAAAAGATCAGACCTTTGGCACAAGAGCAGTTTATAGATTTTAGAGATTAGATTTAAGACTTTTGTCAGATAAATTACCAACTAGGACTACTTGGAATAAGAACTCTTAGCATAACATTTGACATGTTAGCATAATCATGACAATGGAGGTATTTTTAAGTGAAAGTGAATTAATTGTCGTTGTGACACAGCACAACATTCATTTGATAATCTAACAATTCCAAGATGTCAGATGCAACCTTTATTCTGAGACGGACAGAGAAAAAAATATTTTGATTACATTTAATACATTTCCAGCAGTGAAACTTTATTCCGTTTGTAAAACCAGTAGAAGTTTTGTGATTTCAAAAAGCATCAACTTCAAGTTGAATGTCACCAGAGTGACCTCTGAAAAAAAGACACAATCATTCCCTGATTCACCAGGATTCAGCACCGAGTATATGTTGACACAAGACTTCTGACAGCTTTGTCTGGGGAAGAGCGCCGAGTCTTGAATAATAGAAAGGGCCTCACACAGGAGATATATGTACACATTGATCTTAACCGGCTTAAGGTGGAAGTAATCCTGCAGCCGAGCTCGCAGATTGATTCCCGGCTGTTGATTCTCCTTGTCACACTTTGCTCACACGTGATGTTTTGACGAGGTTACCAGTCATCGACGGGGCTCTTTCTCATACAGGGAGAGCAGATTGGGCTGTAAAAACAAGTCTGTGTGGCTCTGTCTGCCGTCATGGCATCGAGTGAGTGAGTGAGAGGGGAGTGAAATATGAAATGGATATTTTTACTTGGCAGATGCATCTTAATAAAAACATACATGCACTGAAGTCGGAGCCGTAACAAATGTCTGGTTTCATGTGCGTCAGCAGCCGCATTAGGAGAGGGTCTCAAATAAGTATTTCTTTCTCAATCCATCCATCCATCCATCCATCCATCCCTGCTTCCAACCAATGTCTGCATCAATCATCTTCTGTTACCTAATCCTTTACCTACGTTTACGAGCACAAACGGCCATAACTAATCATCATTTTAACATCTACATCAGGGAGATTGAAGGCTCGACACAGCAGTTGTTGGGCGTCAGCTGAGACCATTAGATACCGACAGGAAAAAAATGATGCACTATCCACTTTTCCACAGCCATGAATAAGCATTTCTAGTAATTTAAATATTTCACACACATTTTTTAATGCCAATGTTTACTTTATTTAGACTATTTACACTGTCATCTTTAATCAGTGAAAAAGATGAGGAAAAGAAAAAAATCGAGCGAGCCAGCAGCTTACTTCAGGTGTCTCTCCTTGGCTCCGGTCGAGTATAAAGAAAACTCAGGACCTTGCTTTGAATTGACGTTATCAAAGACCTCACGGTGAAACACGCCTGACGAGACCTGATATCAAAGAGATTCCATGTTCTGTGAATGCCATTTAATTGCCAGGTTTCCAGCCAGGCGTGAGTCAAGCGCTGAAAAGGACTGTACAGCAGATGTTTCTTTTTTTTTTTTGCTTCCTTCGACATCCACGTCTACCAGTGTACAAACTATTTCTGAAGTAGAAAATAAACCTGTGCACGGCTCTGACGGAGCCAACGTGCTGAAAAGAGCCGTGCCCTCAGGAATAATTCTGTGAATTCCAGTGAATTCTAAAGCTTTTCAAATGAATTAAAACATGTTTATATTCATTTTTACATCTGCCTAATTAAGATAAAACTCGCAATGTTTTTTGTGCAAATATTAAAGGTGACAAAGAGTTACGGTTTTACTATCTCTTCTGTGTATTCAGAACTACCTTAAAAAAGCAAAGGTATGACAGAAATAGAGTAGAATGAATCTCCCTGCATTTCATTCTTCATTATATTGCAGCTGAAGGTGCTGGAGATTAGACAGGCATTTATATTTTATGAACACTTCATACATTTGACATTCAAAGGAAAATGTCAACCTGGGTGTCTCAAAGAACCCAATATATCAAGAAGATTAAAAGATACAGCCTGCGCCTGTTTTAATTTGCTCTCTTATTCTCTCCTATTTCTGTGGGTCAGCTCCATTATAATAAAACATAAATAAATAAATCAAATCAATCCAAGTGTTGACAGGGCATCTGGAAGTCTTCACCCTAAAATGTAATAATATGGAATTTGGCAGCGCAGACTCATTTCACAGACAATGGCTAAATGAAAAAGCGTCGAAGCATTTCAGCACTTGATGGACACAAACTGTGTGCTGTTACAAACGGCTTTGTTTTGCTTAATTGGAAATATATTGGATGTTTTCTTATGGGAGATCAGGCAAAAAAAAGGTGTGACCCGAACCCATTTACTTCACGACAACATATGGGCTTGATATTAAAACCTCTCTTTCAGGGAAGATATTAAAACCAATTCAACCACTAATTTGTATTAAAAAAAAAATTTTTTTTTTTACATTTGCTATTTCCACAATGATTGATGCTGAACAGAGCTGGAGATACTGCCACAATGGCTGCTCTAATATTGATATCCACTGCCTCCAGCAATCACCAGGTTATTTATGAATGGCTTTTTGAAGTCAGAAATGTAAGTATCGAAAAAAAGATATGTGACTGCCAGTTTCAGGTCAAGGAAAGATTCACCTCGGCTTAACGGAAAAAGTACACATACGGTACTACAAGAATATTTGTCTGGTCAAAGGAGACAAAAGTAGAAGAGAACAGAGAGTGAGCTTTAACTTAAAGAACACTGTCTGTACATTGTTCTTTAGATAGAAAATAAAGGTAGAAATGAAATCCCCTATCAGACTTTGGTAAATATATTCTGAGAGTCACAAGCATTATGTTACTATGATATTACTGTGATATATATATTTGTAGTAGCAAAAGTCTGTATTTGTTTTGTCTTTTTACACAGCATATCATAAAACTTCACAGGGTTAAAATGAATGTTAGTGACTGGTTTAAATACAATCTACATACCATGTACATAAATGGAAATATAAACAAAACCAAGACAAAAATCATGTTAAATAATTTCCCAACCGTTCACCCCAGTAATCTTATCTTTTTTCCAAATAATTTCCCAACCGTTCACCCCAGTGATCATTTCTTTTCTTCCTAGATCTCCTACAAGGCGGTGAGCTCCTTTGACCCTGAGCTTGACCTCTCCAACCAGAGTGGGAAGATAGTAAAACTGGGCAATGAGACCACCCACACGTTCACCGGCCTTTACCCAGGCTCCACGTACTCCTTCACCCTTCGTGCTAGCACAGCTAAAGGCTACGGCCCTCCAGTCATTACACAGTTCACCACCAAGATCTCAGGTCAGTGGGGTCAACAGCATGCTCAGTCAGTGTGTGGACTCTGTTGAATAATTATGTAAAAAGTTTCAACGTAATGCTGATGTGCTGCAGTCCATCCAGAGTTAGATGATTATTTTACTTGTTGTACTGTTGCAGTCCTGTGATTTCTTTAATCCTAAAAACAGGGAGACAAATAACAGCTGTTCGATGAATGGGTTTTGCACCTGTTTTTCTTTGTGACTAATACAAATACTGGAATTTGTTCACCAAAAAAACATGCTTAAAGAAAACTGATTAAGCAAAAATAATAATAATAATAATAAAAAAACAGTTTTCATTTGTGACTAAACTTTCTTTCACTTTCACTTTTACTGCACCATCGTTCATCTGAACCTCCACCTTTTCCCTCCTCTCAGCTCCATCCATGCCAGCCTACGATCAAGAAACCTCTTTGAACCAGACGGACACCACGGTGACTGTGCTGCTGAAGCCGGCCCAGAGCAGAGGCGCTCCAGTCAGGTAGCTAAGCTAACCAACACAACAACAGCGGTACAATAGAATGAATCAGCAGCAGCAGAAAGAGTTATCACACAGCGTGTTTATCTTGACTCCGCCGTGAGAGACAGCTTCCAGGGAATTCACTACCTTTATGTCTGTATCTCATTCTCCAACTTTCATTTGTTTGTTTACACTGATCCTGGGAAAAGGACCTTCAGCTTTGAAGATGAGAACAAAGTCCTGGTGTGGAGAAGCCTCTTTTGCCTTTACTTGTTTTTAATGTAGGCTGCCCTGCGCACCATGGGTTCCCGGGGGGGGGGGGGGGGCGGGTG